CTTAGGCTTACTTCAAAGCCTGTTCTTTTCTCTTTCAAGCAAACTATTATCCTTGTCTCCAATGCTAGTAATAATTGCACAGGAAAAGATTTAGTAAAACCTATCATTTTTAGTTGCTGTTTAATTATGCAAGTTTACTATGTTATTATTTAGTCGGTTTAAATGTTAGAATTTTCTTCTTTAAACTTTAATGTTGTCGTCACTACATCTGGAAAACCACGTAAGAACAAATTAAAAGTATTTTAAAAGAGACCAGGTTGTTTGAAAATCCTAAACGAATGCTAAAAATCATAGAATCAAAACATTCTGGTGTCTGAGCCAGAGTGTCATCGAATTACGATGTAATGTAAAACAGAAATTATAGCAAGCTGATGTCAGTCAGCTTAGATGGTCCAAGCCAAAATTATATCGCATTTGAAGTTTCAAACTGTGTTAAAAATAGTGGAAGAAAAGCCGTAATTATACTTATTGTTACAATCCATTTATTAAAATGCAACATGTTTTTGTTTTAATGAAAAAAACACAGTTATTTTCATGAGAACGATTTGTTTTTCCATCTCAATTTTTTTAATCTCCAATCGCAATAACGTAAAGTATTATTACCCGCGAACCAATGAGTCCAATTTAAGAAACAACCCACTGTTAGAAAGCTGAATGGCTACGCTTTAAAATGAATGTAAACTTTAACGTTTTCGTCTATTATTTGTTTAGCAATTTACATTTCAGTCGAGGATTGCGCTTTTTTTGATACACCCTGTATAACACATACTTTTTGCTCTTGGAGCCCCGGATCATGATTCATGAGTGCAAGGCTCCCAGGCAAAATGACGTAATTATTGAAAGGGTGTATTATTAAAATGTTGGATAAAATTTATTCGAAGGGTTGTCTAAAATAGGAATTAATTCTGAGCAGCATGCTATTGGAGATGAGGTTTTCATAGGGATTGCCTCAATTTTAAAAAAAATCTTTCAAGGTAACCCGTTAATACACCCTTTCGATATCGCTTTCCATAATAACGTCACACATTCTTTTTGCTCTTGGAGTCCCAGCTCACGATTCATGAGTGCAAGACTCCCAGGTCAAATGACGTAATTATTGAAAAGATGTATTATTACATTTTTTGATAAAATTTTATCTGGAGGGTTGTCAAAATAGGAAATAATTCTGAACAGCATGGTATTGGGGATGAGGTTTTCTGAGGGAGTGCCTGAATTTTAACCAAGTTCTTCAGGGTAACCTGTAAATACAGCCTTTCGATTTTACGTGATACATACATTTTGCTCTTGGAGTCCCAGCTCACAATTCATGAGTACAAGGCTCCCAGGTCAAATGACGTAATTATTGAAAGGATGTATTATTACATTTTTGGATAAAAATTTATCCGAAGGGTTGTCTAAAACAGGAAATAATTCTGAACAGCATGCTATTGGAGATGAGGTTTTCTGAGGCATTGACTTAATTTTAACCAAATTCTTAAGGGTAAGCTGTAAATACACCTTTTCGATATATACGTCACACATACTTTTTGCTCTTGGAACCCTGGATCTCGATTCATGAGTGCAAGGCTTCCAGACCAAATGACGTAATTATTGAAAGGGTGCGTTATTAAAAGGGTTGTCTAAAATAGGAAATAATTCTAAACAGCATGCTATTTGGGACGAGGTTTTCTGAGGGACCCCTGAATTCTTAGTGTTTGTGCACCAGGACAACAAATTTATGGTGATTTGTGCACCTGACAGGGAGACGGAGTGATGGTCGGGCATTGGGTTTATAATTATTGTAGAATATGTGTAATTATTGTTTATAATTATTGCATGTTTTTGCAGGAATATACCCGGGAATGCAAGAATGATTTGGCTGTTCAGATATCAAACTACAATCATCAAATAATGCAATGTCAGCATTTTATTATTCTCAATGTGAAAAATATTAATAGAAATAAAATATACACGCTAGTATCCTGATAGGTAGAACATTGTATTATTATAAGGTGTCGCATACACTGGTACTGATGCTACTTTGAGTGTGTCCACACCAGGCAACCAGAAGAGTTTGCTTGACAGCGGTGGGAATCGAACCCGCAACCTTTGGTTTGCTATTCCAATGCTCTACCGACTGGGCCATACATGTACGGGGTCAAGTCGGTAAGAAAACCAAAAAGTCGTGGATCCGATTCCCACCGCGATCAGGCAAGACGAGCATCATAAACAAACAGTGGTCTACATATTTAGCTATATCCCACTAACAATGAATAAAATCATTCAAAACAGAAACTGTGTCCAATGTGTGTAATAAGGGTCTAGTTTTTAGAAATGGATAGATTCGAACATATTCCCAGCCATGATGTTGTCATGACATTGTAACATGTCACATGATTATGGCTGTCAGCAGTATATAGGTGGTACTGGTATGCTATAAATCATTTCTGGCAAACGTTTTTGTCATGATAAATGAAATCAATATTGCCGGTGAGACAAAGAAACATTTTCCAGTTCATTCAATATTGTAGAATGCTGTTTTATAGTGAAATAAATCAAGATATTCCTTGAAATTTTGTCTTCCTTGGAATACACCCTTTTGATATTTATGTCACAACTCCTTCCTTGTCCAGGAAACCTTTTGTTCATCAATTTATTTTTTTATGAGTGTGGCTTCTAGACCAAAGGCGTATTTGTGATTTAATTACCTAAAGGGTGCCAGTTGAGATTGGTGAAAATAAAAATATATTTATAGTTGGTGGTGATCTTGCTTAAAAGGACATTGCTCTGAAATGCAACAATATTTTACTTGCTGTATTTACATTTTAGAGCATCCCTGTATAAAAGTAAGAGAAATCTTACTGTTTATAAATAATTATTTTTGTTTTCCCCAAGGAAGCAAAAGGTTCACAAATACTCAGGAGTGGTTTTCACCAATCTCACCAGCATGGAAAATAGCTCTAAGGGAATATCTTTATATCTCGACATATTTCACCATGAAATGGATGTCTAATACTCCCCTTTCCGCTGAGTCGACGACTTATTGCTGACAGCCATAATCTCGATTCATGCCGAAACAATGCAGGGCATTGCGGAGCTAGCCAAAATTTCCGCAGCATGTCATTTATGTTTTATGCCAACTGGCAACTGAGAGATCGGCTGAACGACTTTCAGTCGGAGTCTGGCTCCGATTCTACGGCCACTGTCCACAAGCCATCCCTTATCTTCCTCGCCCCATCGCTTTTCCCATCATTTCCAGCATTATGGCGAACAACTTCTTGTAGGCCGTATTCCCTGACCGCTTTTCGTTCAGTTTTGTTGCCACCCTTCGGGCACTACTTTAAATTCACACGAATCTATACATTTTTATACGCTGAGTACGAATTCACTTGTTGTCACTCGCACAAACCTGCAGTTTTTTTGTATTTTACAATCAAACATCAACATATTTTATTAAAATTTCCGCCATTTTGTTCAGGAAACTTCATGTTATATACAATTATTGTACTAGTTCAAGTCTCTTAGCAGGGGGTTGCACGCGGTATTACGCATTTTTATCATTCTTCTGAGGAAAATATACGTACAGAAATAAAAATATAGATATTTTTTCACAATATTAAAATGCAAAAGGTAATAATACATGTTTGTATATAATCAGGAACTAATCTACTATTCTTTATTGCGTCAACTTTTGGGTTTTTGGCCTCACCTTGATGTGAAATTGCAAAGACAGTCACTATATGGTCTATATCCACAAAGACTCACTTGACTTGTCCTTGCTAAAGTTGTTTATTTTAATTATTACTGAAATTATGTACATAATTTTAGCCTAACAATGTGAATAGGCAATTTTTCTTTCAAATTTTTGTTAACAATGAATAAGGAGCACAATATACTTGTTGTTTAATTAATAAATGTTAGACCTATTTGTTGTTTAGTATAAAACGTTAGACCTATAGTCCATCACCTGAGGGAGTTCTATTACTCATCTCAGGGGAACAAACGAAACTGATCGCATATGAAAGCTTAGCGTTTTAGCTTTCAAAAAATGTCTTGGCGGACGTTCAGAACGGTAGCTTTCCTATAGAATTTCGACTTTGAAGTGACGTACTTCGAAGCAGTGAACGGCCGCCATTTTGTCTCTCAGAGAAAATCCCGCCTAAGAATATTCAGACATAGACAACCCAAAAGGTGTTAAATAAAGAAGGTCTCACCTCAAAGAATTGTAGCTGCATGCTTTATACATCTTTTGACATACTTAGAACTCTTTATTTGATCATTTCTTTAAAGTTTAACGTAATTAAATTTTACTTTAACGTACCTCTTCGCCTTCGTTGACGAACTGTTCAGTATATGCTGTCAATTGTTAATTAATTTAAATGAAAATTGAAAAGACTCTAAATTTTTACCAACTGTTGGCATAGGGTTTATAATGAATGATGACACCCCCCCCCCTGCCATTTTTGGTCTTGTGACCATCCCCTTTTTTTACCTATCCACCCCCCCCCCGATAAATAATGACCGGTACCTTATGTAGAATTGCAATGTTTAAGAGTTATTTCATTCCCATTGTTGCATGTGGTTCAATTAATCATTCTTCGTTTTGTTTGTTGACAAGTATCGTCCATTGGAAGTATTTTCTTTATTTCTAAACATATATAAATGAAGTATAAATTGAGGATAGTTTGTTACTGTTGATTTTAGAATTATTCATGAAAATGAGTGAAACGTTTTGTTATTTGATTTAGCGAAGTTATACACTCACTCAACTGCCAATTTGTTCTCTTTGACGCTTTGGTATCAAAATTTTGCAAACTGTAGATCTCCTCTCTTACCTTTTAACATGTGTATTAGTCATCTTCATCGTCGCTATCGGCGCTGAGAACTGTTTCATCATCTTCAGATTGCATATTATCACAATTCAAACTGCACATCTCGGTGCACTTCAGACCTGCTTTGAGGCAGCAGCATGTATTTTCTGTACACCTGCGTTTGCAGGTGCAGGAAAGTAGCTCCATCACTTATTCAGGAGCGGGCTTCGAACCAAGCCATATAAATTCTAAAGTGGAAGAACTCACGTTCCAGACATGCCCATGCGGGGAAGGGATATCAGGACACGCTTCTGTAGCTCTCCTCCAGATAGCAGCCTGATAGTTTGCACGAGACACATGCAGCCGCAGCGATGACTGACATGGCGGCAATGCTTCTGGCGCGACCTTGCCACCTTTCGCATAATGGAGCTCATATCGCAATGAATCCACACTCTTACCCTTCTTTCCATATAAATGACACACAAACTCTTCTGTTGCGCTAAATGTATCATCGCTTACACTCCATTCCTTGCCAATGTCTTTCATTGTCTTCACATAGATATGATTCATGACGAGCATCTGCATTGGCCGCAATTTGCCCTTCGAAGAGAAGGCTGACACTGTGTCGCAACCTGTTAACGCATGTAGCCCCATTAAAGCCTCACAAGCTTCTTGTTTTGTAATTCCATCTGCTACTTGCCTTTCCAGTTGATCAGCAATCTCAGAGATCCCGACAATTCTACGCTTTGATCCATTTCCCTTCTGCAAGTAGCACTTGCCCAGGTTGTGGGCGTGGCCAATGAGTAGTACCATAACGTCCGTATCTTCTGAGTGGATGACACACTTGCCACCTGCATGCTTGGCGTGTAAGACCATACGGGTATCAGCCTCTTCGTGGTTGCTTCTCAGCTCTGGTACTACTCTGGCCTCTGACGAGCTGATTTTCCAGCACGTTTCCTCTTCAGTTACGTAGAGTGTTTTGCTGAGAAGCTTGTCTCGATACTGCTCCAGTTTCCATTGACCCACGAGGAACCGCACTAACTCAGTTTTGTTGGCTGATACACTCAGGATCTTGCTCCAATTCTTCACTCGGTAACCGGGCAAGATGTTCTTGTAAGTAATCCCTACTGGTCCAGTTGCACGTTTCGATCTTTCTGCATTCTTTATGGAGATATCCTTATAAATATCGGAGACAACGTCAATTCGCTTGCTGAAGTTGCTGGTTAACATTGTGAACAAACTTTCGGCTAGAACTGCAAATGTGGCTCCAGGCGGTGGTTTAAACTTCTGAAGCACAGCCATTCCGTCATAAATACTTGTAGCATCGAGTGGATAACAGTCCTTGATGACAACTTGCTTTTCCAGTTGCTGAGCTAACTTGGCTTTGTTAGTCTTTCTTGGAAGTCCATAAGGATCTGCTAGCGCCCATGGTAGTGGTCCGAGAGGATATGTAAACACCAATCGCATGTCTATCTTGCGAAATTGTCCCAATAACGCCATCCTCGAGAATACGTCTCGATCTAGTTTGATAGGAATTACAGCATCCTTAGAACGAACCTTCGTAACAGCTTTGAGATTCTTGAATGACTTAAGCTTGAGCTTTGTCAGAGGATCAAAAAAGGGAACACTTTCATCAGATGAGCATCGCTGTTCCACGAATTTCCTAGACGCGCTTTTTCCCTTTTCATTAGCCTGAAGTAGGTCATCTCTGACCTCAGGAGTTGCTGATATCCCGGTTGACAGGCTAATCAGGTGCACGACGTCTCTGTTCCACGGATTACAGAAAACATTCTCCAAAACGTCAACCACATTTGCTACAGCTTCCATGTCTGATCTTATATGGGAAGGTGAGAGCTCTTTGTGGGGCTTGTTCTCAGTAGACAGCAGAGATACGTGTTCGCGGAAGAGTCGTCTGTATGAGCTGCGCCTGGAATTGTTCAAGACCCACCGCTGAGTCGCCGCGAAATTGGCACTGAATCCGATGTAGCCGCCATGCACTCGTCTTGCAATCCCTGTTGATCGTATTCTCAATGGTCTTGTCGGCCTCGTTTTGACCAAATGGGTTACTTTTGGACATCTGTACACTGAAATCACCGGCGAGAAAAGCATCATAAACCTCAGGCATGACTGTTGGCAAAGCACGCATATCATTCAGGTATGGAATTAGATAGCGCGCATAGTTTTGCCGGTCGTAGGCAAATGTCCATGGTATAACTGCTTCGATACAAAAGAGATACAGTTCCCAGTTGCCCGTTCTCGTTGCGTTGATCAGATCAAGTAGGAGTTCACAGAGTTGCAAATACGTGATCCAAAATTTTGCAAGATCACTGCCATTCTGCCTTATGTCAGCTACGTGTTCCTGGAAACGGTTCTCCCATTGCTGTAGCAGATCGCTCTCCAGGACCTGCTCGATTTCTTCTTGACAAAGATTAAGCTTGAGCTGATCCAAATGCGTTTTATGGTCACTTAGCAATTCCAACGAATCCTCATGCAAGCAATCTTCAAAGTTCTCTAAAAGTAGCTTGGTCATCGCCTCATACATAATATTGTGTAGTCTAATGCCTCTGTTATAATGCTTGCCGTTTAGAACGCTGTCAATTGAGCCTTCAGCTATCATCTCACTGTGCACAGCTACATCTCTGAGGCCAGCGTCGCCAAAACGGTTGCCGATGATTGCCAGTAGTGTCATCAACAGATGAAACCCACCCATCATTACAAATGAACCTTCAAATTGTTCTTTCTGCTTCCAAAGCACTTCGCATAGAACGCCTGATCAAATACGCAAGCTACTGCATTCAGCTGAAGCTTGTTTTTGATTTCACGTCCGCGGCAGAGTACCTCATACGCCTTCTTAAGATCTGTGGCTGGCGAGTCCAGTGTGTCGAGGTATCCCATTGTGCTTTGAATGACAGCGACTTTGTCGCGAATCTTTATGAAGAATCCGGTCCAGCTGCGAACAAGCAGCAACGGATGAGTCTTCAGCTTCCTCAGTTCGATCCACACGAGATAGTGAATGTGCAGTTTCCTTGACATTTTCTCGTAGGATGAGGTAATACCGAGGTGTTGTATGTGTGACAGGACTCCTGGGCCGACCCGCCTACCTCCATAGTAATCCTGAATCTCTCTGGTAATTACATCTGCTGATAAAGATCGTTTGCATTTCCGTTTCACCGGGGGGTGGTATTGTTCACCGTCGCCCTCTAGGTTCTCCTCAAATGTCTCTTGAGGCTGTCGTTTCATAACAAGAATGGAATTCACCCGGTGGGAGGTGCCGGCTCCACTCATCGTACATTCCAAGTTATCAATGTTGTCCGCTACCATGAGTGCGACGGGTAGGTTGTTGAACTGTTTGCATTCATCTGGGATAAGAACACGATTTAACGTTTGTTCGTTAATTGCTTTAAGCGCAAATTCCGTCTCGATTTCTTCAACAAGATTATAACCGATTCCATGGCCACATCTACTAATAAGTTTAACAACTTCTGTATTATTACACAAGGCTTTTACCACAGATGGAAAAAGTACACTTTTAGGCGTCTTAATTGCTCCGTTAGATACGGAGTAGACAATGTCCTGTGCTAATGAGTTCTTTAGGCGCACAATGCGGTCAGACCTGCTTTTGTCCCTGTCCAATAACTGGCCAGACAAAAGGATGGTACAAAAGGTATCTAACAATTCAGGAACACAGTCGGCTACCTTATCAATACCTAGATCTTTTTCCTCGGGGGGCCACGCCATTGCACGGGGATGGTATTTTATTTTCTCGTTGAGAATTTTCGCTGCGTTGATTACTGTTTTTGAATTTTCATCCAAGGATGTTTGATTTGCAACGTCACTTTTAAGCTCAAAGTTTTCGACTACGACTGTCTCTAATTTTAAGGTGGAGAGATACATCAGAACTTTATTTTGTTGGTAATTAAGAAATACTAGCTGTTCGAATTTATTAGATATCAGACGCAAGAGGTTTTTATATTGTGACTGTGTTACTACCACACCCAATTTATCTTCCTCGTCTGATAGGACATTCCTAACTTCTTTAAATTCTACGACTCTTGGGTTTGATATTAAGGCTTCACAGAAGGAGTAGACAGCTTCATACACCTCACCATTATTATTCCCCATAGCTTCAGTGGGATTATTGACGGCTTCATCAGTCTCGTACATAATGTGAACAAAAGCTTTGTAGCATGAAGAATGATATTTCGCTTCACCACTTATCAAATCCTTGGCGCAAATACCAGAAATATTTGCAGCAATGGCACTCATATTAGTGTGTCTACTAAGGTGCAACGACGC